CCTTGCGCTGAATGCAGATGTTCTTCCTTGAGATAGGTTTGTTTTATGTTTCCTGATGCACATTCTTGGAGAAAATAATTAATCATGACAAAATAGGACTTATCTGATCATACATGTTCATATTCTGTTTCTGGGCGACTATCTCAAAAATAACTGAGCCATATCAGTTTGAGAATTACTGAATGTACCGTATTTTTCGCTCCATAAGACGCATAGACTTTCCACACCCCTGTTTTGTGGGAAAAAAGTGAGTCTTATGGTGCAAAAAATACAGTAATTATTAAGAATGATAACGTGAGTATGTGAAGGTAGAGAACTGTTGTTTTTATGCTCCATTCTTTGTGAGCTGCATCTCTTCAGCTACAGTCATACAGCTTCTGCTTTGAAGACAGAAATCTGTGTCAATTGAATCCATCTGAAGAAAATGATTCTTATTTTTGTCGCTAGTCTTTAGATGAATACTATTGGGTTTTAAGGGAACTCTAAAATGGTACTGTATTTACAATGTTTGTAAAAATATTGGCAGTGGTGGCATTTTACCTAGCTGCATTTGCATTGAAGGTTTTTGAAGCTAGTTCGGTTCATTTTCTGGTATTGCAAGTTTTTATGAAATGCTTCCAAACTTATGACATCTTTTTTTTTTAAACCATAGCTATTTCGCTGATGATTTTGGGACTGCCTTTCTCTCTCGTTGTGATGTAAAATAGTGCCTTCCATGTCATGTGTTGATTTGCTTGTAGAGTGCTTCTCACAATGAGCTCTTACATTAGCAGTCAGTGACTGACAGGAAAACAAAGACTAGCTAGGAATATGTAACTTTATTACTGGACATTGTTCTCCAGTAGGATTTAGTAGATTTTACTGCTGGTTTTGTTTGTTTTTAATTTTATTTTATTTTTCACAGAAAAAAAGCGAGACAAATAAGAGACAAAGGAAAAAGAAAGGAAAAAAACCCCAAAACTAACCCCTCAAGTTAAACTAACCCACCCCCCCTTTGGAGTCAGAGACTCCAGCCTCGTTAACCCCTCTGCTCACCCAATTTCATTTTCAGTATATACTAAATATAAATGCATCATAAACTTTGCCCTACGCTTCTGTCTTCTGGGCCCAAGAATATATTAGTTCCCAGCTTTATTTTACATAGTCTCTTGGCTGTTCCCGTAGTGCTTCTGATAGAGTGTCCAGTTCTGCTGTATCCCGTAACTTCTTTAACAGCTCTTCTATCGTTGGAACCTCTTCGGTTTTCCATTTTTGGGCCCAGAGTAAATCTAGCTGCTGTGAGTATATACATAAGACAATGCTTCAATTTATTATCATTGATTCCTGATATGACATTCAATAATGCCATTTCAGGTTTTATATCTAATTTCTGCTAGGTGATTTCTTTTGTGAAGTCCCATACCTGTGTCCAATAATTTTTGACCTTTTCGCATGTCCACCACATATGATAAGTTTCTACATTCTTTTTACACTTCCAACATACAGTATATTGCTGTTACCCTCTGATATTGTTGCTAATCTTACAGGTGTATAATGCCACCTGTAGAACATTTTAAGGATATTTTCTCTGAGATTTGCTGGTTTAAGCATCTTATAACTTTCTTTCCACATCTTAGTCCAGTCATCGAGATCCACACTGTATCCAAATTTTTTTGCCCATTTTACTATTGTCTCTTTCACCCTCTCATCCGCTAAATCATATTCTAATAAGTATATGTACGTTTTTAAATTATTCTTTCATCCATATATATCCACAGTCTATCCACTTGGACTTTACCCTCAAAGAAACCCACAGTCCTATATTTTTCGTATCTTGATTCTAATTTTACCGTTGACCGCCAATCAACAGCTGCGCCCATTTTTTCAAGCTCTTATTTGTCCTTTATCTTCTGCTCATTAGTTAACAGATTTTCATATATGGTCAGCATTCCTCTCTGGTTCAGGACTTTTAATGTAAATGCTTCTATAGGTGCCACCCACAATGGGATTTTCTCATAAATTTGTGCTTGAAATTTTTGCCACACCATCCCTGTTGTTTTGTTTTTTTCAGTTCATTACGTGTGTGAAAACAGTAGGAATGAATGAGATTTAGAGTTATCTAATATGCTCTTATTGCCATGTGTTTTTTCTTTTAATTTTTAGATCATTGTAGAATAATGATCCTCTTCTAAACCAGCATCTTGACAGCTATAGAGTAGTGGATTCCCTTAAGTCCATAGATGACAGAAGTCGATATTCAGTACTGTAATTAGAGCTTGAGATTTTGCTAGTTATACAGAACTAGTGTATTATTTAGAGATGCTCTTTGAATCTTTGGCAGTGTACATCTGGGTAAATTTAACAGCTTTATTAGCTATTAATTAATTAATTAATTAATTAGTTTGTTTTATTTATATGCTGCCTTTCTCCCTGCACCAAAGGGTCTCTTGTAGTTGCCACTCATAACTTTACGTCTAGGATTTACTACTACATTGTAAAATATGGTTTGATATTCAGAAAAAGTCTGTGTGATTGATGCTGTATAGAAATGGGCACAAACCTCCATTCAGAGGATGATGCTAGTTCATACATGTGTCACCACGGGTGCTGTGTGTTCTCTTCCCCCACCTCCCCGACCAGTGACCCACTCACCAGTTGGAGCGTGCTCCTCTCCTCTTCCTCTTTGGCTGTTTGACCAGTCACCAGCAGGAGCATGGCTTTGCCTGTCCTGCCTCCTTGTCTGAGTGGGCGATCAGCCGAAGAAATGGGGCAGGGAAGCCTGTGCTCTAACCAGGGACTGGTTGAACAGCCAAAGAGCAGAAGGAGAGGAGCACGTTCCATCGGGTGAGTGGGTCATTGGCCAGGGAGGTGGAGGGGAATGAACACATGGCAGCTGTGACCTTTGAACCGAGGTTCGTGCCCATCTCATGCTGTATCGAGAAGTGATCTAGCTCTCATTGTGAATTGCATAGGTTATTATAAATTACTTGATCCTTTGCAGCAGTAGTGTGCTTTTATGAAACTGTACATCTGCTATAATATCCTTTCACTATGTGAGCCCAGCTAAGAGAAATGTATTGAGTCAGTTATAGAAACAATGCCCAGTCACATTGGAAACATTTCTAGTTATGTTAGTAGATTTAGCAGATTGAAATTATGTGATCTAGGTAACAGTTTAAAGGATGTCATATGTTTTGATATATTTTATTAGCTGTCTCAAGCGTTCTTGGAAGATGTGTGAAATGTAAGAAGAACTCAACAGCTGACTCTTTTGGTTTTATCGTAAAACTCTTTCATATATTAATCTATTCAGTAATCTTTTCTAGTTATAATCAAGCCTTATTGTCTTTTTATTCAATTTTTAAATAGCAAGCTGTTTATAAACTTTTAACTGAGTAATAACCTGCTGTAGTGTGAAGACTCATTAAAAAAAGATAGGTGTGTGGATGATAAAGAGAGGAAGCAGAACCATAAGGCAATATAAATAGTAAGCAACCCATGACTTATGAGTACAGCAGAATGTAATGCTGCAAAATTCTCCTTACAGCTCCTTTACATTACCAGAGGTTAGCTCTTTCTGTAGCCACCTACTTTGTCAGTTTCTCAGAGCTGCTGCGTGGGTACAACTGTGAGCTGCTCCCATGGAAACCACTTTCAACTGTTGACTGATTTGCAAAGAGATAGTTAAACTGGGTTGATTTATTAAAAATATATACAGATGCTGTTGTGCATTGTGAGTTTGCACTATTAGGTTATAGCATATGGTTGCTTATCTAGTGATGTGGCGCGCATCTTAACAACCTAATTGGCTATTTACGTTCTCAGAGTAGAACACCAAACACTAATCGGATCATAAACTTGTATTCTCTTTGGATTATCCAGACTAAACATGAAGTAGTATTACTGCGCAGAACAAGAGCTTTTCTGAAGCCATGGGGGGAAAACACCATGTGTTTTGTGTACATATATGTGGGGATAGATATGAGCATTTACTATTTCATTGGTACCAATTTTCATAACTTTAGCAACATAAAATGCATTATGCTTAGGACATACCGTAATTGTTTCCTACCTTTATTAAATGTAAAAGTTCAAATGCCTAAGTTACCCCCACCCCAACCTGCCATGTACTAATATAGCTGATGTCAAAAGCTGGTGCACTGAAAACATTTTGCCAGCAGGAAAATGACAACACATTTTAGGGTGTGATTTGTAACATCTATCTTTGCCCTCAGTATAATAGAATGCAATCTTTTGTCTTTTTCTTTGCATTAAACATCCAGTCTCATTAACCTTTTCTATTAGGGTCCTTGTTCAACTGTATCCTCTTCCTTGTCAATAGATACAAACGTAAGATACTATTCAGTAGTGGCCTTCAGCTGTTTTTGACCAGTCCTCCCGTTAACTTTAGTCAGCATTGTGGGAGTAGAATTCCCAAAATATCTAGATTCACAGTGGCCTGCTTGTTTTATACTGTGTTCCTTTTAGATTCTAGAATTATCATTGCATCATTGCAAGAGGGTTCCTGAGTACCCTCTGTTGAAAACTGTAAATTTATAGAGTTTGGGGAGAGGGTGAGGAATGGAAAACAGCACCCATTTCTGTTCAGGTTTATAATATAAGCTCGACAGCATTCAACAAAGGGTTATATTGGAACCAAGAGTTGAAGATGATTTATTTCAAAGTACTCTGTTCCTCTAAAATAAGACCTAACCTGAAAATAAACCCTAGTACATGATTTTTCAGGATGCTCATAATACAAATCCTACTCCAAAAATAAGACCTAGTTAAGTGAAACCCCGTCCTCCACCCTTGTGCAGCAACCAGAAGATGACATGAATGACATGACTGTATTTGAATAAATGTAGATGGTTGTACATGACAAAAATAAAACATCCCCTGAAAATAAGCCCTAATGCGGTTTTTAGAGCAAAAATTAATATAAGACCCTGTCTTATTTTCGGGGAAACAGGGTGGCTATGAGTTCTATTTTAGTAGGCGGAATAGGATTTTGGTCTTACATTTGTCCTTTTTTTCTTTCCTTCATAGGTTGTAAGATTCTCCTTTTCCTCGCAGAGGCTTTGGGACTCACCCTTCAAATGTCTGGTGTCAGGAATTGAACAACCTGGATACGATGCCAAAATATACCCAAACAATTTTATAGCTTGAACCAATGATTCTTCTGGATATATATTTCTCTCATCAAGAATAAGTACAAAATCCAAATCCTGCTCACTAGAAGATTTTTTTTTTTAATTTTAAGATCATGGACCATCTTACTAGGGAGAAAGATGAAAGGAAAACAAAAGGAAATCCAGGAAGAACTACACATGGTGCCCGAGCAGCAAGTTCTGCTTCAGCCACCGGTGTTCTTATGGTTGGACCCAATTTCAGAGTTGGGAAGAAGATAGGCTGCGGAAATTTTGGAGAGCTCAGGTTAGGTAAGAGCACAGCAGTTACATTGGGCTGACCACACTGTTTTACTCAATCAGATGAATTTGTATGTGTGGTCTCCCCCCCCCCACCGCCCCTGCAAAACAAAAGAATTTTCCCTCTTTCCTACTTTGACAGTGCTGTGAATTTTACATGTCTGGGCTGGGGCCATACAGTGAAACACAGAAATAATGTTCTGTTATTGAAATCCAATAGCAAGTCACCACTTGAATAGTCCCTTGAATCTGTGGAACTTATAAAGGAGTTTATTTCCCAAATCCCCACTGATTCAGTAGGCGTACTTCAGTGATGACTTGCTACATTGGACCCTCAGCTTACAGGTGGCTCAACTTACAGACTTTTCAAGTTACAGACTTCTCTGGCTGCAAAATTTAGGTTTGACTTGCAGCCGGAGAATCGACCTACAGACTGGGGAAAAAAACAAAACAAAATGGAACGAAAATGGCCAGTTACGGATTAATTGGTTTTCAATGCATTGTAGGTCAATGGAGCCTCGACTTACAGACTTTTCGACCTGCAGCCACCATTCCAATACGGTTTAATTCCATACGTCGAGGGTCCACTGTACTCGATTTCATCAGTTGCATTTATTCATTCAACGTATCCTGTCCCATGCTAGAAAGGAAAGAGGGTGGGAGGGAAGGAAGGAAGGAAGAAAAGCAAGCAAGCAAGCAAGCTTCAGGGTTTGTGACACCTGTGCTAATAGGTGGCAGAGGGAGGACACTTAAGGGGCCTCCCTGTGGAATGCGAGAACATCTGGGTGTCCCGTAGGCAACGATAGCACTCTGTGGCTAATTCCTTCTTTCTGGGAACACCACCAGATTGCTTCCAACACAAACAGGGGAAGAGGAAGAGAAGTTGCAGAGCAGGGCTTGGTGCTTCCCAGCCTATGTTACTTTTTCTTTGGAACACTTGGTCTGCTAAAACTTCTGCTTTCCTCCAGGCAGCAGTTAGTTGTTTGTCTACAATAAATCCCTGTCTTGAGAGCGACATCTGCAGGATGGATGTGCCAGGCAGGGGGGGATGGTGAAGCAGTGTGTCTGCCTGCTCCCTACTCCTGCAAATTGCTCAGAGCTGAGGCTGCTTTGCATTGCATTGCAGAAGCTGTGGCCACATTAATCACAGAGGATAATTCTAGTCTTCATTTATGCCATTAAAAATGTATGTGCTTGATGTAGTAGAGAGGAAACGTTGTTGTTGTTGTCAAGATTTGATACCAAGGAAGTGTTAAATCTTCTCTGCTGACAGGACTCAGAATAAGGACGAAGCAGGTTTTTTTAAAATCAGGTGGCAGTTTTTAAACGTATATTAATCTTCAGACACATTATACAATCTGGGAAAGACAGTCTTCTAGGTATTTATCTCTTGTATGCAGAAGAAGTGCTGCTTCTAAGTGGCTGCTTGCTATGTTGTTTGTGTTATCTAAAAATAAAGCATGCTTCTTGATTCAGAAATTTTGTCTCTGCCTTTGTAAAATAATACATGATTAATCATTTGATTGACCAGCTTAATTCCATAGGACAAATTTATTAAAATGTCTTTGATCAGGTTGTAAATCTTCTTAAGGTACGGGCTTTTAGTCTTCCCTTCTCTTTCCATAGTTGCCTAGGGGCAGATTACTGCAGCTAATTTTCTTTTGGTTTTAACATGTACCACCTTTATTCTTTCCCCTTATTGTCAGAACTGAATTTTCATTTTACTTTTACTGTTTTAGTACCTGGAGAAGCTTTTTATCATCCTGATTTGAATTACAAAACCCTACTACTTTAGTTTATTTTTTCATTTTAGTTTTACTTGAATCAATCTGTAACTCAGAGGAACAGGAGACTATGTGTATAAATATCTGAAATAGATCAGTGTTTTAAATTTGATACATTCAGGCGTCAATTAAACATTAAGAAAAAACATGAGGCAATAGGATCATACTTAAGTAATGTAAATACTATACAACACAAATTATATTGTGGTTGAGTCTTACGCAAATTTAAAGTATATAAATACAGAGAGAGAGAGAGATGCACTGAGCATTTCATGACTATCTTTTTGTCATACTAAAGTTCATTTCCCGCCTCTTTCTTTGCTTTTTTTAACTGTAGGAGTGTACGTGGTCCAACTTTCCTGAGAATAGTTCTGCATTTATTTCTAAATACTTATAAAATAAATATTAAAATGCTGAGGAATTCATTCTTACTTTCTATGGGGATGGACTAAAAGGAATAATATGAGTTGCCCATTATTGATAGATAAATAAGGAAATTAGTAGGTATAACATACTTCAGTTCAGATAAGAATTAGATTGCAATCAGGAAAGATTTAAGATGCTACTTGATTCTTCATTCATTGTACTTGACCTAAATTGATCATGTTATATGGTAAACCTATTTTTTCATTCCATAGATGTTAATGATTTAGCTGTCATGGTTGTGATATTTAAAGCCTCTTTCTTTTTCAGGCAAAAATCTTTATACAAATGAATACGTAGCAATCAAACTGGTGAGTAACCTTCCCATTTTAAAGCATCTTTCAAATTCTGAACATTAGGGAAAATAGGACAATTTTTGCACAGCTCTGCCTGTGTTCTTGATTTTTTTGTGGACAGGTATGCAAAGTGTGCTATCTTACACAAGCTTGATAGAAGGCATTTCTGTGCTAAACCTAGTAATGATATGCTTCCATACAGACAGCGTTGAAAAGCTGCCATTGTGTACTTCATTATGTTAACATGCAAAAAAAAAAAGGAATAGCTTTTTTTTAGTGAATAACAATTTTCTTATTACTTTAATGAATATTCTTTTTAGTCCTTGACTTTTTTTTAGGTTGTCTTGTATGAAAGTTTATTTTGGCAAAAGTAAGCTAAATATTGGGTAGCAAATTTTGAAATCCAGTTGAGTTTGAAAAATATATATTCCCCTGTAGAGCTCTGATTTGCATCTTTGTTTTCTTAGGAGCCATTAAAATCCCGGGCCCCACAGCTGCATTTAGAATATAGGTTTTATAAACACATTGGCACTGCAGGTAAGTAAGATTCCTCTTAGGAACTATTAAAAGATTGTGATAAATGAGTATGTTAAGGCTTAGAGTTAATGTTTTTGTTTTATGTTGTCAAGCTACTTAAGACTTAGGGTCACCCTATGGATGAGTGACATCCAAAATGTCCTGGCATAGCCCTGCTCAGGGCTTTAATTTCTTGGATCTGATGAAATAGGACTGTTCTTTTTCCTCTTTGTTTCCCCCCTTCCCTTCATTTCTTGGTATGGATTAGAGGTGGGGGAAAGAACAGCAAAGGTTTGTTTGGTGGCCAAACAAGTGTTGGGCATTTGCCAGCCCTACCTCTGCCAGTGGGCACCCGCTCAGCTCCCGGAGGAGATGGTAGAGGGAAGTCAGGATGTTGCCTCTGAGTGGGCCCCCACCAGCAGAGGTGGGACTGGGAGATGCAAAACACCTGTTTGGCTTTTAAATGAACTAGTATGAACCACTGAATCAATGGTTCCTGCCCATCCCGAGTGTGGCTAGTTTCATAGTTCCTTTTCTTTCTAGGTGATTATTGCTGAAATGTTGCGTACAGGATTCAGACCCTTTTCTTGTCACCTTATACTTTTGGTTTTTGCCTGCCGTTATCAATCTTAAGTTTCTTCCTGGAATTGATATAAGCATATGCTCGAAAGCTATCCAGCAACATCGCTAGGGTTGATGGAAGAGTTTTGGACAGTGAAATGGTGTGCTTTCAATATTGTGCCTGAACATGAAGTGCATCAGCTTTGCTACATAATTTGACCTTGATTGGTCTCAACAGTTGCAGTACTTGAGGGCTGGAAGTACCTCAAGGCTGTTGTGTGTATGAAGAAATAAGAACTCTTGTGATCCCAGTATTTCATTAAATATGCAAGCTTATGTAAGCTGGATATATAGTTATTTCACTTATTTATTTAAAATATTTTTATCCCACCTTTCTCCTCAAAAAGGTCATTAGGGTAGTGTACATCCTTAAAGACAAGATTTATAGCCAAAACCAATAAGTGTACAAAGGCAGTGTACAGATTTATTAATATAGCTGTCTTAGGTAAAGGTAAAGGTTCCCATTGACAATTTTTTGTCCAGTCGTATTCGACTCCAGGGGGCGGTGCTCATCCCCGTTTCCAAGCCATAGAGCCAGCGTTTGTCCGAAGACAATCTTTCCGTGGTCACATGGCCAGTGCGACTTAGACACGGAACGCTGTTACCTTCCCACTGAAGTAGTCCCTATTTATCTACTTGCATTTGCATGCTTTCGAACTGCTAGGTTGGCGGGAGCTGGGACAGGTGACGGGAGCTCACTCCGTCACGTGGATTCGATCTTACGATTGCTTGGTCTTCTGACCCTGCAACACAGGCTTCTGCGGTTTAGCCCGCAGCGCCACCACGTCCCTTAGAACGTCCCTAGCTGTCTGTCAAGATACCTGGGAGCAGCTTTTGTGAATGCATGATGTACAGTGTTGGAGTCAGTTTGCATGGCAGGAGCAAAGACTGTGGGCTTGGTAGAAATTACAATACTGTAAATAATTCTTTCATTTCAGTCTTGATGACTTAAAACTGTTTAAAAATATCATTTCAGTTGAAGGCTTTCCACAGGTGTATTACTATGGGCCATGTGGAAAATACAACGCCATGGTACTTGAGCTCCTTGGTCCAAGTTTGGAGGACTTGTTTGACCTCTGTGATAGAACATTCACTCTCAAGACAGTCTTAATGATTGCGATCCAACTGGTAAGTAAGGCAAGGTGGTGCATTTCATTTTTTATTTTATCTCAGTGATTTCAGCTTGTTCGGTTTGTTTGTCTGAGAATTGTCTGAGGAGGTAAACAAAAAACTTTCTCAGAGCCATGTCACCCTGACAGCTAGACTTTAGCTTCAGTAGATCCGACAAGTAGTAGGTTAGTCTGTCAAACTTGATTGCGATCCAACTGGTAAGTAAGGCAAGGTGGTGCATTTCATTTTTTATTTTATCTCAGTGATTTCAGCTTGTTCGGTTTGTTTGTCTGAGAATTGTCTGAGGAGGTAAACAAAAAACTTTCTCAGAGCCATGTCACCCTGACAGCTAGACTTTAGCTTCAGTAGATCCGACAAGTAGTAGGTTAGTCTGTCAAACTTAAGACTCACACAAAACAGGGGGGTGGAAAGTCTGTGCATCTTATGGAGCGAAGAAAACAGATTATATTTTCCTGTTTTCTTCTCCTAAAAAATCGGTGCGTCTTATGGAAAGGTGCGTCTTATAGAGCGAAAAATACGGTAGGTTAGTCTGTCAAACGTTTTCATTTTAGAAGTAACTCTGATCTCTTTTTCTTTGGACATTTTTTTTAAAAAAGGAAGGTTAATATTAATAATAATCTTAGAACTGTAGACCTGGAAGGGACCTTATGGATCACTAAGTCCAGCCCCTGTTAAGGAGGGCCAGTCGGGAATCGAACTCCCAACCTCTGGCTCTCCAGCCAGATGCCTAAACCACTGAGCTATCCATCAGTTTTTAGACACATGCATACACAATAGGGTTTTTAATGGCTGTTAGTCATGGTTGCTATGTATTACCTTTAGTATTAGAGGCACTCTGTATCCATATGCCAGCAGCACAAGTGACACTGTTGTCATGTATCAGTCGGTCATGGGAGTTCTATAGACATCTGGTTGATCTCTTGTGGGGACAGATTGCTGGACTAGGTAGGCCTTTGGTAAGATCCAGCATGACGCTTCCTATGTTTTTGAATTTTGAATTTTTCATGTTAAACGTTTCTGAAAAGTACAAGTTTTTTCCCCAAAAAGAAGTATTGCATCAGGCATATACAGTGGTATATTTTTCATTCCGAAAAAATCACTGTCGAACGAAAATGTCATCATGCAATTTTAAAAAGCCCACAGAAACGCATTAAAACCCAATTAATGCGTTCCTAGGGGCTTAAAACTCACAGTCCAGCGAAGATTCTCCATAGCGCGGCCATTTTTGCCGCCCGTGCAGCGAGGAATCCGTGCCAGAAAACAGCGGGCAGCCATGTTTTTCACCCAGCAGCCATTTTGAACCCGCCTATCAGCTGGCCGAAAATCATCGCTTTGCGATAATCGGTTAGCGAAACAGGGGACCAATCATTGCAAAGCGAAATTCTCCCATAGGGAACATCGTTTTGTGATCACTTTTGCGATCGCAAAATCTACGTCGTGATGCGATTTCGTCGTCAAACGGAGCGCTCATAATGCGAGGCACCACAGTACTACCATACATTAAAAGCGACACACACATATCCTGTGCTTTGCAAGCTTTGGCTCCAGAATGAAATGTAGACTGTGTAAAATAGCAGTCCCTGTATCAGATCGGCCACTTTTATCACACAAGGACGTACTGTACATTTTTTAATGTAATATTGTATGTGAATTATGCTAAATATGTGGGAGTGGTGTTTGAGCCAGATTTCATGGAATAGTTTAAGAGATTTTTGAGCCCTATAATAATGGACATCATAGCATGAATTATAGTAGTTGTTTTCAGACTGCAAAGGAACTCTGGAGTTTTTGGAAGCTTCTGAAGAATTTTTGTAGTGAAAATATTTCAGTGGTGGCAAGAGTCATACAAATGGCTTGTCTACCAGTCGCTACAGTATATGTCTCCCTCTGTGGCAGATATTGAGTGTGTTCTGGGCAGTATTCAGGTTAGAGAACAATGAAGTCCGGAAGGCATGTCCAGAGTCATGAGTTGTATTATCTAGAACATGTTATGGAACCTCTGCAGCACCCTAATGTTCCTTGGCACATGAGGTCCTCATTTTTAGAAACATTAGATTAGTCATCTGGTCTTGTATTTCCCTAATACTTGGGGGAAATCAAGAGATATATTTCTTTTCTTCAGCTGATATTCTTTGGGATGTTAGGCTGGTAAGACATTTTGTGATACTACGGGTAATAAAATGATCTGTAGTATCATAAAATGTTAACATCTTACCAACCTAACATCCGCTGTAGCCATGGGGTCAGTACCTAGGATTTCACTTATCCACCTCCTGAAAATACTTAAGAAGAACCCCAGAAATATGCATTTCCAAGGTGTATTACCAGAACTGGCCACTAGAGGAGACCAGAGATTATGCTGTGTGTTATGCGTTTCTATACCTGTGCCTTTTGGCATCTGCCAGGGGGACCTTGAAACTGATTCCCCTTGGATACCGCAGTCCTACTGTATCAATGTTTCTTTCTTTGTAGAGAACACTGGCCCATTAAGAGCTGGCAACTGTTTTTCTTAATCAAGGCATTTCAATATTATCTACAGTAGTTCTGTTCTTTTGTAGATCACGCGAATGGAATTCGTACATTCAAAGAATCTCATTTATCGAGACGTCAAGCCAGAAAACTTCCTGATTGGTCGTCAAGGAAATAAGAAAGAACATGTCATTCACATAATAGACTTTGGGTTGGCCAAGGAGTTCATTGATCCTGAAACACAAAAACACATACCTTACAGGGAACACAAGAGCCTAACTGGAACAGCAAGATACATGTCCATCAATACACACCTTGGCAAAGGTTGGCTCACTTTCGTTTGTTGTCATCAGTTAGTGTTTTTTTTTTAAAGTAGTGTTCTTCTCGTCGCAATTTATACTGTTAAAGTACTTTCAGCTTAGGCAGTTGAATGCTTAGAATTTCAGATTTACTTTGCACCTGGTTTGAAAACTAGATAGATTTGAAAACTAGATAGCAAAAGATAGAGCAATAGATTTGAGAGCACTTCAGTGGATCTGGGACCAAAGGCTGGAATAAGGAGAGCTCGACAGCTGTTACTGTACTATAGTAGGACCCCTCTATCTGCAGGATCAGAATCTGCTGATTCACTTATTCACAGCCTAAAAATATTAAAAGAAAAATCCTATAAATACATGTTACTAAAGATGAAGTTACCAGACCTGGCCATTAGAGGGGGCCAGAGACCATGCTAGGTGTAGTGTTTGCTATAATCCATGCTTTTTGGCATCCGCGGAGCGGGGGGGCTTGGAACCAGTCTCCGCAGAAGGGTCCTACCGTTTAGCGTTGCAATGAATTAATGTTACTGTCCATACATTGGTATTTGGAGTGACAAACATAAAGAAGAATGCAAAAATATGTTTTTACACTTTCAAAATAAAACTGGCCAGTCAGGCTACACTTTTTAACATTTGTCACGTCTTCTCTCACCTATTTACAAATGAATGTGTCCCTGCTGATCAAATTGTACTGGAGCTAGAAATACGTTTTAACAGTACAGTACCTGTAGTATCTTTTAGAGCATATAAAGCAGTGGTGTCCTTTCTTATGCCTTTCAGAGCAAAGTCGGCGAGATGACTTGGAAGCCCTTGGGCACATGTTCATGTATTTCCTTCGAGGTAGTTTGCCATGGCAAGGCCTTAAGGTATACTCTACAGGGTGTGCTCAGTGAACGTGCCTCTGATATATACAGTACTTCCCGGGTGACTTATTTCTTGGTGGGGACACATCCGTGCTAATATTCTAACCAACAATTAATAAATAGACTTACCAGCACCTGTGGCAAGCAAGAATTCAGTTCTACCAACTAGCCAGATGTCATGCCCTTTTTTTGTTCTGTCACCATTTTTCCCCTGCTAAGCCACCAAAGTTAGCTACAAAAAGTTTTCCAACCTTTTTCAATCTGTTTTCTAGACTTTGGAAACCTTTAGTTTCTGCTTATATTTTGACTGCTTTTCCTAGACAGTTGTCCTCCACAGTGCCTTTCTCTGTTCTCTGTCCTCTACCCCCTTCCCCAAGGCTGATAATTCTCTTTGACATCCTCCCTTCCATCCTAGAAAGGAAAAAAACAAAACCTATAAGTTTTGACCTAGAAGTTATTCTGGTCCCTAGAAGCTAAGGAAGACATGACAGGGAAAAGGAAGAAAAAAGGAGTTTTGGCTTGAGAAGAAGAGAGCTGTTGTAAGGAAGGAATAAAAATCTGGACGTCTTCCACTTACGGAAGGAAAATATGGTGTTCTTAGTCTTTTCTGTGTTGAAAAAATGTCTCTGTTGGCGTGTTGTCTGTTGCAAATGTTATTCTTTGTCCGGATAGATGCAAAGCACAGTGTGTGCCTGCCGTAAGGTTAATGGGAGACAGGGTAGGTTAATTGTGCCAGAGCTGCAGGCTAGAAGTTTGAAAAACCTCCAGTTGATTTGTGTGGGTGCAAAATCTGTGTTCTCTAGTTGAGCACAGTACACATGCCAAGGAGGTGGTGGCCATGTTTCTGGAAAGAGACCTTCAGGGGCCCAGGCTAATGCAGAGTCAGGCCCGTCCACTGGGTAGCAGAAGGCAGTAGGTGTTTGATGTCGTAAAAGGCAGCAAATTGATTATTGTTAATTTATTTTTATATTTTTCTCAATAGACGAGGAGAGGTGGGATTGTTGTTCCCAAATGCCAAAATAAATGGATTGATCTTGGTACTGTATACCTCAGTTTGGGAGGAGGGGTTCCATTTTCTACTCTACCCGTAAGAGCAAAAAGTCGTAAGCCCACCCTGTAATTTATGCAGAGCAATAGTATGTATGGTGTTAGTGGTTATCCTTGTTTCTGTAGAAGGAGCAGGTTATACTTACCTGGTGGCAATTTTGAGTTGCAGGGAAGGGAAATCATTTTGTTGTTGCTGTTATTAAATGACTGAGAACTGGACATTCCTGCTAATCTCCCGCAGATCACTCAGAGATCTACCAGTAGATCCCAGTCTGGCTCTGTGTTCTTCCTACACTTAGCTTAGAATGTTAAAATAACTTCAGATATATTATTTTAGTTTAAAATAGCTTTGTAAAATCTTTCATTATTATTCCCCTATTGCATTTGGGAGGGGGAGGACTTTGTTTTAGACCACCTGCTAATAGTTTTTTAAAAAATAAAGAAATCTTTGTATTACACAGGCTGACACGCTAAAAGAGAGATATCAGAAGATTGGGGATACGAAAAGGAACACTCCAATTGATGTTCTCTGTGAGAACTTCCCAGGTATGTTTCCGTCATTCAGGCCAGGTGCTATCCTGGTCTCTTCTAGTGGTATTTTAAAGAATTCAGCTATCAAAATAAATGCGTTCATAGAGTGGTATCGGGACTCTTAATTCAATTTATTATTTATTTATTTGAAATATTTTTGCCCTGCCTTTCTCCTGGAAAAAGTACCCAAGGTAGCTTACATTGAAAGACAATGTTTGAAGTTGAATACAATGAGCCCGCTCATAAATGGGAGATACAGTCTTTGAGATAGCTTGGACCCAGGCCATTTAGGCCTTTATAGGTTAAAACCAGTGGTTTAAATTGTGCCTGGAAGCTGATCGGCAGCCAGTGGAGCTGCTGTAACAGGAGGGTTATGTGATCCTTATGTAACCAGCCCCAGTCATCAATCTGGCTGATGCATTTTGGACCCGATGAAGTTTCCTGACACTTTCCACTCACTCTTTGTCCAGTAGAGTAGTAAACATCTGAGTCAGCTGTAAATTTAGTATTATTCGTTGCTTTTCCCCTAATGTATGTTGAAATTACTACTTGCAGCCACCTTCCTCCTAAGGCTTCAAATATTTATGCCCATGAAACATATATTACTGTGTGAATAGAATCAAAGGCATCAAATGCATAGTAACTTCCTGGCCTAGGGCAGCCTGCCTTATGTTCCTCGTTTGTCCCCAGATTTCCACCACAAAAATAGGAAATTTAGTTATTTGGTAGGCTGTAATTCAGTGGTTGTACACACTGAAGTTGCATGCTTGGTTTATAGTACTAAAATCTGGTTCAAATGATATATTCTGTTTGTAATAATAACATCTGAGCTAAATGTTCAAAGTGAGATGATCCCGAGAGTTGGGATATAGCTCCTGATGCCCAGCACGACTGTCTCATTTTCTTCTGATCAGGGGAGGTAGTGTTAACTTCGAGTAGATCTCTTTTAAGTTGATGCTTGGTTAGTTGAGGATGAGCTGTTGAAGATTTCTCTGTTTTGGGAGCATTTCATCTAGAGGCTTTGTACAGTTTGGTGATTACAAGTAACTGTGACATATTGTGAATGGGAGAACTGCAGAGAGAGTTACTTGCACCATGCAGTGTTTTTACCTTCTCCCTCGCTCAAACTTGCAGCTGCAACACAAGAAAGCAGGAGCTTCTTGCAGTTTGACAACTGTTGTGCTGCTCTTTATCATAGATAGTTCAACAGAGCTGCCTCTCTCTCAACGGACTCCGATTTCGATCAGGCAGCTCTCCAAACTTCAGAACAGCATATGTTGAGAGCCCGTTCAAATATATGCTAGTTTAGCTTATTACTGACTTCAAATTAAGGATGTAGACTCTGTCTTCCCCATCTAACTATTGATGCCCTTTGACCTCAACTGGACTTGGAGGCAAGGACTCACTAGTCCCATATTGCTATTAAAAGGTAGCCTTGTTTGCTGCTTTCCACTCGTTTGTGTTCCTCTGGGTAACTTGTCTTGTTTCTGCGAACATGAGCCTATTGCAGTATCAATGTGCTTTAACTCCCCTTGGCCTGTTAAGGTTATATGCTTCAAAAACTGAAACTGCATAGATGTTTTGTGTTGATTCCTTGTCAGTGAGAATCCAGAAGTACTGGTCTGAATACCACCTCTTTCCTCAAGTGCTCTTGCCCACCATATGTATTGGCAGTTTGAGATTGCCTTTTCATAAACCTAAAGGGTCTCAAAACAAAAGCAAAGCATAGTGCTTAAAACATTCTTTACGCACATAGTGCTTAAAACATGATTTAGGCAGTTTCCCATTTAATTATGCAGGCTACACATTGCCCCTGCCCCCAGCAAGCTGGGTACTCAATTTACCGACCTTGGAAGGGTGAATGAACCTTGAGCCAGGTTCCTGGGATTGAACCTGAGTCGTGAGCAGTTTTGGCTGCAGTTTAGCCACTGCATCACGAGGCTTCTCTCGTGTACTTTGGTTGGAAATTATGTGACTCAATAGATAGCCAATGGCACAGATTTAAAGACCGTTTGCTTGTTTCTTTGGATTGCTCTGATGACTCAGGAACCTAGAAAAGTAGTTTGCTGCTTTTTTTCCTAATCCATGCCTCTGACATTGCTTCTTCCTAATTCTCTTATCAGAGGAAATGGCTGCTTATCTTCGTTATGTCAGGCGATTAGACTTCTTCGAAAGACCAGATTACGATTACCTGCGAACAATCTTCACGGAGTTATTTGAAAAGAGAGGCTTCACTTTTGATTATGTCTACGACTGGGTTGGCAGGCCAATTGTAAGTTGTAAAAGGAGTAGAGATGGGAACGAAACACTATCTCTGTATGTCTTCTGCTGATACAAGCCATGGGTTCTATTATCATCCTGGGAATCTGAACTTTTCTTCTTGAGTATTTTGCTGTCTAGACTAAAGAGTTTGGAATATAAAGGGAATGTATTTCTAAGGTTTGGATCAGAAGGTGCGGAATGTTTTGACCTCCACATGTTTTGGATAACACCTCTCAAAACCTTCTATCATTGGCCATGCCATCTAGGACTTTTAGAAGGTAAAGTCCAGTATGTCTGGCGGGGCAGACGTCCTCTGCTCCTGCTCTAGATTAGAAAAGGCATACAGTAAAGTCCAGGTATCTGTGGGGGATCAGTTTCTGCTCCTCGGTGGATGCTGAAAATGTGGATTATAATGAACACTGTTTAAATAGTGAACACTATACATAGCATGGTCTCTGGTACCCTCTAGTGTCTAGTTCTGGTAATGACATTGGTAGAAATCTACTGGTATATTTCTAGGATTTTTCTTTTAATATTTGCTGACCATGGATAAATGAATCAGCGGATACTGTTCCCACAAATATGGGGTCCTACTGTATTTGTCATAGGAAAAAAGGCTGTACAGAGAGTATACTGGATTTTTGAATGAAGGTTTATGCAGGGTGATGGCACTGGTTTTAAAGCAAACTACCTCTGTAATTGAAAACATGAGCCATGCAACTGTTGGGTTTTCATTCCAAAATGAATTGTTATGTCAACATGGATTGTTTGGGATTGACCTTGACATTTAGCTCTGTGTGTATTTCCAGCCTACTCCCGTGGGGCCCATGCAGGTGGATTCTGGACCATCCGTCACAAGAGACCCCCATGCACATAGGGATCGGTCCTCATTACAGCCTCACCGGAATCAGGTTTGTTAATGGTACAAATCATTTAATCCTGGAGGAGGGCATGAATTTTTTCAGTCCACGATTGATTGGGGGAGGCTGATCCCTCTGAATTGAAACCGCTATATAAAACGGAAATATTTTTCTTGTATTGAGACCCATTGCGGTCATGCAGATTGGGGCAAAATTTGCTTATTCAGCCCTTTTAAAAGAAACATTGTGATGTCTGCTTTGGCCTTTTCTGCTTTTTTACTTCTGTGCAACAAGGATAGTATAATCCTTTCATAATTAGTACTTAACTGAAATTCTTTTAACATAAGTTGCTTTTTTTTCTTCCCTGAGCTCTGCCCACATGCTTTTAGAAAGAAAACTTTGCTTCCCTCTGGTTCAGTTTTGCTTTTTCTCCTGTCCTTTTGCTCTCTTACTTGCAATGCCTGTGTAGACTGCAGCCGAGCGCCGAGGAGACTGGGACATTTCAGCGACGCGGCCAACGAACGCTTTGTTTTTGACTTCTCACTTGGCTACAGAGTGGCATGGGGGATCAGTTCAGGTACTGCCCTTTCCTGCCCGGCTCCACTTTCTTAACGTAATGGGATGCGCTTTCCTACGACCTTCTTACAAATCAGCTGTTCGACATGCATCTTAATCTCTTGATGTTTCACATAAAATATGTGGGTCATTTCTCCTAAAGAGTCCCAGGATGCGAAAACCCGATTAAGCTTCAGAATATCTGTGTGGCACACGGTGCCTCAGTTTGATATAGTGTGAGAATCAGTGTTGGGCAAGTGTTAATATTGTCGGCTTTTGCCTAGGCTGATTCTTTAGACAGAATTTGGAACACTGGACTGTATGCCTAAAAATTAGTTAGCATGCAGTTTTCCCAGAGATGCAAGGAAGGCCTGTAGTGGAATGCCTGGGGGAGAAGATAGTATAGAATATCAGTAGCCGCTATTGAGACACCAGTAGGACAGCCGTTTTGATTTAATAATGGTCACGGACAGCGCATGAAAACACTGGGCAGCTTTTAGGCAGAGCAACAAAATTGGACCATGCTCTTAAGTGCTGTTTTATGAATGGAATCCTTTATTTCTGCGGAGATGCTTGGTGTCAGAAGGAGCAAGGTTTATCTCCCCTGATCTCCCTGAACTGTGTTGGCAGGTAGAGAACAGGAAAATTATTCCTTTAGACTCCCCAATTGCCCAGATCTAACCATAGTCAGGGCTGGTTTTTATGTTGGCTCTGGAGCTGTGGAGTTGTCGGAATCCAGAAATGTCACTTTTTGCATTTTTCTATTAGCAAGAGGCACGTAATCTCTATGCAGATTTGTGTGTGGTTGATGTGGAACCAGGATCTGATTGACAGCTGGTGAATCTTGCTGTGAGTGGTGTGATAGATTTTTCTGTTGGCCTTAGCTAGAGCGCTTTTGAATGGAAAGGTCCTAAATGGCCCAAAACAATCTGAAGCTTCCAGCTTTCTGAACATATTTTGAGACCCCCCCACACACACCTCCTTTTCCATCACCTGATATGCAAAGTCAGTTGCAGGACTGAGAAAAGTAGATTGAAAGTGGTACGGAAGTTAGTATAAGGCGCAAGGTTTTTGACAAGAGGGGTTGTAAATGCAGCTGGGGGTTCATATCACTATTGAGTAGTTGAATATTCTTGCCCGTACATCCCTTCTGCCTGCTCCCCTGTTCCAGAGACTGTTTTTGGTAAATCTGTTAATGTCTCTATGTTTGTTGAAACCATAAAGAAGACATCAACACGGAATTAGCTAGCAAGATTTTACTAGCGTGTCAGCTAACACTTGTACAACATATACAAAGCATCAGAGGGCTCCACTGTTTCCCCATTAGAGCTATAACACATTGAGATAACATACTTTCCGTGAAGATTACAATTTCAGTCTCCGCCATCTCCTCCGATTTAGTAAGATAAATATAGAAAAAGCAGTGCCTTATACCCATAAATCATCGAGATTCATATCCACATTTTTTGTTGTGTGCATTATGTATATTTTGCTCTATATTTTGCTTCATTTTGATTTTGCTGCCTATTTCAGTTCACTCCCTCTTCCCACTGCCTCTGCATTCTTTTTGCTTTTCACCCTATGGCTGGAAGGTAGCCCTCCCGTGCACTCTTTGAGGGTTTCGGTGCACTCTCGAGCCTATGTTTTATATTCACGGGAGGTTTCCGTTTCTTTTTCAGGTGGTAAGCTCAACCAATGGTGAGCTGAATGCCGATGAACCAGCAGGCCCACCCTCCAATATACAGCTTGCAGCACATGCTGACGTGGAAGTAGTGGAGGAAGCTAAGTATGTGTGCTGTGCAGACAAGCTTTTTCCTCCATCACCTGTATGTGAAACATGTCTCTGTGTCACTATGTTTGGTGCCCATATCCATAACCTGCTGGCAAATCCCTTCCATTTTTTGCATGCCGACTACAGCCATGTGGACAGTGGCATAGCTGCTTTTCGCTCGGGCTGCTTAGCGGGTGCTACTTTTCACCAGAGCATGCAATGCAAATTAGAGAGAAGCAACTCAGAAGAATTAAAAGTTGCATGCATCGTGGATTGTGTAGCTTTAGGACTCTCGCCCTTAGTTGTGTATGCACATTAAGTACCTCAGGTGCTTCTTCTGAATGTAGAAACCAGAGCTTCCCTCATTCCTTGAATGTGAAGTTGTGTGTTTGGTCTCTTATTCATTGTTGCAAATTATTTTGTGTTCCCAGTCAGACTGTAAATGACTTCTATTTTTGCCATAGATATCATGCAAGCTTCCTGCTGAGTCTTGCAAATTATTTTTGCTTAGCTTTTGAGGAACATTGCTTTGGCATTTTTCCCCCCTCTCTGCCATCCGGTGATATTCTGCATGATCCGTTGCCGTGAGATGAACTGTTATGAATAGCAGTCAACTCCTTTGCTTTACAATCAGAAATTAAAACTTATGGAATCATTATGATGAGAAGGTGTCGAGGGGTCCCATTTTTATTGAACATGCAGTGGTGGTGAATTCCCTCAACAGTCCCGATAGGGCTGAATAGGCTTCTTTGCTAGCACTGTGATGCTTGATTCACTGTGCTGTGTAAATGCTCGGAGAAGCTTGTTAGTTAGGGGGAAAAACAAAACAAAACAGTATATGCAATACTTTTAATTGTGCTTCAGGTCTGAACATCCAGCTGAGATGAAGTAATCGCCTAAATACTCCATTGGCCTCAGGAGAGCTTCATAGCCACCTCAAGCTTCAAAGAGGCAGGATCTAAATATGTTTAAATAAATAAAATTGAGAATGCTTGCGGCAAACATTAATAAATTGCACTTTGCTTTCCCTACCAATCGCTTAGTCTTGGTTGCTCTGAAGATGATCAGCATCTTGTGGGAGAGATTTTGAATCTTTTGGATATTTATTGCCCACAATCCTCTTGGTGATTTAAACTGCTTAATTCACCACGGTAATAAGCCACTAACAAGGCACCAGTGACAACATTAGATGCCATCAACCCCTTCTGCCCCCACTGCCTTTTTAGTATGACCAGGCCTCCTTGGTCGGTGGATGAGTTACGCACTTTAACTTATGCACATGTAAAAATCACCAAGAGGATTCTGGCCATATATACTGTTCAGAGCTGTCTGTTTGAGAAAGGGGAAATGGGGCAAGAGGAGAGTGAGATCTGGAAGGATGCAGGGAAGGAAATGACTTAAGTGCAGTGAAGGCTGTCTGGTAGATAAAAGTGAAAGTGTGGAAATTAAAACGATGGAAGAACGGGAGCCTGTTATCAAGGGAGATCCCTGGATATGGGAACTAATGGCTTCTAAACACCCTAAAACAGAAGCCGGGAGAATACGTTCTACTCTGACCCCAAGAAAACTCTCATAATTGGGGGGAGGGACAGGAAAGAAGGCATCAGGCACAAGAGCAAATTGTTGAGGGAAGTGCAGAAGCTCCAGCTCCCCCTTGGTCAACAATCCAAGACAAGAGTTTCCCCCCATGGGAAGAAGAAAGGAGTGAGGATGTTGACTATCTGAGGTGGGGTTGCAGAAGACCTCCTTCTCGTGGCGCCCTCAGTCTGGCTTATATTCAACCTGTGTCAGAGCAGGAAAAGGCGAAGGTAAAAGACGCTAGCTGAGGAATAAGCCACATAAATGCTTCATTGTATTTTCACCCCCTTAAAAAAAAGAATGTTAAAAGTTAGACTGTTGAATGGAAGTTGAAGTAGCTTCAACTAGCTCCAACTACTAGGCTCCTGCATTTGACAGTTGACATGGAGTTGGGAGATTTAGCTATCCTGGCGACTGGGGGAAACCCACACAAATGAACTAGGCTTCACCGTTTGCCCGTTACCCCAGTCAGTAACTTTTACAAAATTCTTCGCTTGATGTTCTCCGCAAGGAGGCTTTTTTTTGCTCTGGCGCTGTAGTATCAGCTAAGCTCCATTAAGCCACTTGTTTTCTTACAGGGCCAGGCAACTGAAATAATCTAGAGTCCCTCTAACAAAATGATGAATACCATTGTATTAATCATTGCACTACCATACATATATGCTAATTTGGAAATAAACCATACTTCAGTTCATGAAACTGAACTGCCAAGAAATGTACTGCATTTTTAAGTCGGAGATGCTACTAAGACACCATATTTTCCCCTGTTTCTTCTAGCGGGATATTTGGTTTCATGAAACTGAACTGCCAAGAAATGTACCTGGGACTGCATTTTTAAGTAGGCGATGCTACTAAGATACCATATTTTCCCCTGTTCCTTCTAGCGGGATATTTGGTTTTCTGTAAAGAGCTTCATCGTGGTCTGTATGCATTTACACTAAAGGGTCTGCGCCCATACAGAACCACCTTGTTTGGAACCTTCTCGATAAAGGAGGAGTTCCATCTTCCACATCCATGCTGGTGTTCAAGCTCTCAGCTCTGGTGCATTGGCTACAGCAGCCACACCTTAGCAGATCGTCTCTAAAAGAGAAAGAGAGAGAGAGAGAGAGATTAAAAATACATTTTTCTGTCTTCAGTATTGCAACCCAGGTGATCTGGGTCCAGGTTTTTTTTTCTAAGTATTGAGTTCTGTGTACCAAGAAGATTCTTCTCAAGTGCCTAGTCTGCCTGGGGGAGGATCATGTTGCTTGCTGAACATCTCTTTGGGCCTCTTGATATATTCCTGTGTTTTCCCTTCAATCATCATCCCATAACTGCAAACTTCCTTGTACATGTTAATGCTGGTCCTTTTTACTTCCTCTCTCTTCCAATGCTCCTGTCTCTGTTTCTTCGGACTAGTTTTGCTGTGTCAGCTTCACTGATTACCTGGTTAGCAGAATTTCCGGTACCTCCTTCTAGTCAAACCTAAGAACTGCTCTATATTTTCATGACCTGTCTGGTGCCTTGAGCACTGCCAGATTGTTCTCTCATCCTGAATTACATTCCTTAACTTTTTTTCTTGTTGTCCTTCTTAGTCTCACTTGATTTTAACGTTTATCTTCTTTGTTCCCATTAGAGACACTCAAATAATCACAATTTAGACTTTTGTTCCAGTTGTTCACATCTCTAGATTCCACGACTAGTGTTTACTACCCTTATGTGAATGCCTTAATTTTTTTTTTGTTTATTTCAGTTATTTGCTTTGAGCAAATTATGCTTTCCAGTTCTATGGCTAATGTCCTGTGTGCCTTGTCAATGTACCAAATTAAGCAGCTTGGCCTACGGTCGTTTAGTTGGAAGTCAGTTCTGTTGAACTCAGTGGGAATTGCTTCAGAATAGATATGTGTAAGGTTGTACTGTTGGCTAGAACAGAACTACTAACTTTTCCAACTCACCCTTTTCCTCTTCTTTGCATAAAGGTAGCAGTTTGATATATTTTTCACTTCACAAGCCATTTAATCCCCGTTTTTGTCTTTCAATGCAGCTATTGCTTCCCTTTGTCTAAGTGTTAAAACCCCTCATGCTTCCCCTTTTTGCTGGAAAATGTCACTAATGGCATATGGCTTCCTAAATCCTCATTCATGTCGCTTTCTACATCAGCTTTGATATTTTTTTTCTTTCTAGTATTCTGCTTAAAGCTCTACAGTTTATAACCCATCCTAACCAAAAGCTCGTTAGTAGCCACTGCCTCTTTTTTCAGTCTTTCTCCTGCTGCTGCTGCTGCTGCCTTGCCTAAGCTAGATAATAAATTTCCCTGTCTCACCTCTATGCTCTCCAGAGCTTTGGACCACATCTTGTCTCATTCCATGGTGCTGGATGTAATTTATCAGAACATTTAGGGATATAATTTTAATCAACGTTCATGTTGCATTCAAGCTCTGAGCTATTTATATCCATGTCTTTCCAAGCAGTCGTCGTTTGCATTTCCTTGTAAACACTCCTCATTGTATTTCCTAACTAACTTGAGGGAGACAAATTAATCTTTTCGAATTCTAGCTCCCGTAATCCCATCTTGTAGAATATTGTTCCCACCTTGGGCCTCCAGATGTTCTTGAATTACCACTCCCAGAAGCCTTCACCACCCCCTCCACTGCCCAGGATTTCTGGGACTCGAAGTCCAAGAACATCTGGAGGCCCAAGTTTGGGGACCACTGCTCTAGAGGACTTTTCCTTTAGATATAATTCCAATGGTCTTCTCTCATTTCCCCCCGGCTGTTGATATAAAAAAAATGTTTTTATCCCCCTTGGCTACCCTTGATCATACTATCTCTCCCATGCCAGTTGCAGGAAGTTCAGGTGGCCCCAGATATGAGAAGGCAGATGGATCTGGTGCATATCACAGATCTGCAGTGCATGTTTGCATGACCCACCATGCTTCCATCCCACCTCTGTACTAATGTTTCTTTTCTTCCTTTTCTGTGTTTTTATTGGTCTTTCTTTCTCTCTCTCTCTTCACCCTGTCTGTTGTAGCTGGCTGAAAATGCTCAACTTGTGGTGAGTCACTCACTCTGGTTCACATAGAAGGGGGAAGTGAACCAAACTCCATTGACAGATTCAAGCGAAATAAAGTAGCAGGGAGGGGTGGCATCTGCTAAACAGGCCCTCTTAGGACAAGGAGCAAGGATTTGGCCCTGGATACGTGCCTTGGAGATAGAGATAATAGTATTTGAAGCTGGAAATGATAGATTTCAGATGGGTGTTGCCTGTTGTTTTGGTCCCTTTGTCAGCTACAAAAAATACTGATGACAAGTACATCTCTTAGAAAAGCAGTGCAGTTGCTACACATTTAGAGTTTTTATTATTCTTGACAGTCTTTGATTTTCCAGAACTGTATTTTATGAACAGCTTTATAGTAATTCTTGCAGCTGCCTGTGTGGAACACTTGGGCATTCTAGATTCTTTAAAAAATCATATGGATTAAGGCCCTCAGTCTTGTATCTAATACAGATTTCAGCTTCTTTTGATCAAGCATACACTCAGATAGTTACGTTCCCACATTTCCTGCATTTTGTAGGAAAATCATGGGATGTGGCTTTATAGGCTTTCAGCTTGTAAAACAGGACCCACCCAAATCTGTATAAACTTTTATGTACCTTTCTCTTATCTTAATTGACCTTGAGGTCCAAAAATAATCTGATATCCTTAAAATTATAGTGTACCTTACTTTTTTTTTGGGGGGGGGGAAGATATGATTTCCTGAAGTCCCTTATAGAGATAAGAATGTTTTATGATTTCAGTCATTCAGCAAAGTAATTTGTTAGCAAGTAATGTAAGTTTATTGGAAAAGCTGAGGACGTTGCCTTGTTTTGCGGCAAAAGAAATTTTAAAGCTTCAGATTTTGTGGTGGAAGGGATGTTGTTGTGTGCCCATCTTTTGTTTCTAACATGACAACCCTAATTGGGATTTCAAGGTAGGCGAGATGTCCAAGTAGTGCTTTACCGTCGTCTTACACACCTTTCCTTGGCTAAGCATGATTTGAACACAGCCCTTCTGAGTCCTAGTCCGACATTCTGTCCATACTGGCTCTCGCCAGTTAGATGAGACTTAAACTGCTCGAAGGTCAGATAGATGGGGAAAGGTGTTCCAAGATGGAAGAAAACTGGAACACTCCTTGCTTTGATGCCCTTTGCCCTTTTCACCAATATTTGTGTCATCTTTCTAGCTATCGCGTGTGCCCTCGTTCGTCCTTGTCCTTTCGAGGCATCTACATTGCTTCATCCTATTGTATACTTATTCTCCAAGTCCTGATGGGACCACCACAGGCAAGAGGGTCCATATCTAAGCTGCAGAAACCAAGGGAGAGAGAGCTTAGTGTAGTTATGAAGAAAAGTGGATTACTTTTCTGGCTCGATTTAGAGCTATAATTGCAGTTGATGTTCGGGTTCTGTACATGATTTGGGAAAAGTGTAACGGGTTTTAGAGCATCTTTGTCTTCCCCCTTTTTTGGGAATGAAACATACCAAGGTTCTATTCCCATCCATCCCCTTCTCTTTTAATCCCCATCTCTTGCCCTACACATATTCCAAATGTTTTCTCTCCATGTATTGTGGGGTGGGTAGCGTAACTTCCCTAACATTACCCTTGTTTACTCTGACTGAAAGTGAGTCTTCAGGGCTTCAGAAAGGAACCTTTTGTGGTCCTACATGGAAATGCCAAGGAGTGAAGCTGGTTCGTCTTGCACACAAAATGGTATGTGCCAGCAGACGTCTGTTACTCAACGTGACACACAGTTTTAATTGCCACAGACCTGATTTCTTTAGGTCTGCCTGTTGGTGTTTCTTCCAGTTCTGTGCTGGTTGTTGCTTCAGCAGCTTGCATCCTATGTGAAGATGGTTGCATGCACTTCACAGCCCTGAAGTCCCATATACCTAGCATGCATGCATATTCTCAGAGTGCTCAGCCCTCAAAACTAGTGAATTCCTAGCAGAGCCATAGACAATCTTGAGCTGTGGTGTAAAAACTTGGTACAGGATTCTGTTTGGTCAAATTGCTAGTCAAACTGTGACATGAACAGTTTGACTTCTACTGAGCTTGTGTAGGAGGTAGTTAGGACCTCCTTGTGCAAGCGTAAGGTATTTGTAACTGGATTGTCCACTTGTGTAAGGGCAAAACTTGTTCAAGCAGAATGGCTTCCAGATTTTCCCCAACTGGCATGTCCACTCCCAGAATCTCCCTCTGGCTCTTCTGAGTTTCCTTAAAGTGTTTGTATGTACATGTACGTTCAATAGATTTTAACCTGTTCATGAGAAAGAGACAGTGGAATATACAGGAGTTTCCTGATACCAAGAGGGACATGTATGACCACATCTGTATGATTCTTTGAGGCAGGCCATGGCAGATACACTATAGACACTAATGATGGAATGTGTTTCACTTTATCTTAATAGCAGTTACTTCTCTTTGGGACATAACGGTGCTCTCTACAAGACTAGTAGGATAGTTTCTTATTTTGCATAGGTTCTTCATTGTGATTTCTTTCTCAAAACCACAGAAGCATCTCATGGTCACATGGGGCAAAGTCTGTTCAAACTGCAGCAGTCAAGACATCTATCTGTCTTCTGCTTCATTGTTCTTGGGTGAAAAATAATTTTCTCCTACATCTGGTGGCAGAAGAAATGTATTGGTGGTGCTAATGCACAGATTAAAAGCTGAGGTTGTAAAATAAATTCTGTCTACCAAAGTGCATGTAGATCAGGTTAAAAAGTGAACCACGTGCAACCAAGAATGGGAGAACACTCAAAGGTTGCCCCTGTTATAAGGGGACAGCATGGGGACATAAGAAGAGCTGTGCTGGATCAGGCCAAGGGCCCATCTAGTCCAGCTTCCTGTATCTCACAGTGGCCCCACCAGATGCACTGGTGAAGATCTTCTGATTACAGATAAAAGGGGAACAGTCAGTAAACAGTCCAGACTCCTCTGATTGGAGTTAGTCTATTAACAAAATCAGATTTTTGAACCAAAAAAACAGCCGCAGTCTTTTTGTGCCTTATAAGAGTACTAACAAGTTTTGTTTAGTATGAAGCTTCATGAATAGTAACTAATTTCTTCAGTGGATTTTCAGCTTAGGAAATTTGTGTTGCCAACACCTTGGTTTTGTGATTCCCAACTTTGGGTCCCCAGATGTTCTTGGACTACAACTCCCAGAAAACTCTGTCCAGCACAGCTCTTGGTGAAGGCTTCCTGGGCGTTTTATCCCAAGAACATCTGGAGACCCAAGGTTGGGAATCACTGCCTAGCGCATGTACCGTTTTTGTTAGGCATATTGACAAAGGGGCACAAGAGTGTTTGGTCTGTCAAGTGTACATTCAGAGTCATTGATAAAAAGAAAATGTTTCAAAAACTATTTTGCAATACGGGTGTATAGAGTATTCTCTCTTTGGACTTTTAAACGCAATTTTATCTTTTTCATGGCATATTGACAAAGGGGCACAAGAGTGTTCGGTCTGTCAAGTGTCATTGATAAAAAGGAAAAAATGTTTCAAAAACTATTTTGCAGTACGGGTGTACAGAGTATTCTCTCTTTGGACTTTTAAACGTGATTTTATCTTTTTAACAGAACTTTTCTTCAGATATTCTGAAACTCCAGATCAGGTTAACCTACATTTACATTATGGCAGGATCTTCACTCCCTGTGTTCTTCTTTTGAAGTAATTCTGTTCATAATCCATTTTGGACTTCTTTGCTGTATGGCTAGGAAGTAATTATAGCTTTTCTTGGTATGTTGATTTGTCTCTTTCAACAGCATCTTGTACGAGGGTCTTCACACTTCTGAATTATTTTAGGAGTAGATCACAGTTTTAGTCTTGAAGGCATCCTGCACATCAAAACAGGACCTGGTCTCTTGTACAGGAAACACATCATCTCATTCTAAGAACGTGGTTGGTTGAAATTATGCCATTCCTACAGTGTGTACTACCCCGTGGAGGCCTTTTAGACTATGAGCTGTTCTGGTTGAAGTTGCCGTTTGTTTGTTGTAATTGGTGTGTAAATGTAGATGACACACAGTCTGTTGATAAGAGTCTCAAGCTATTGCAGTTTTCAGAGAAAAAAAATCATATGGGTTTCTGGAGCATTCTGGCGATCATTGTGAAGTATCCAGGTATTTATTTTTTTAAAAAACATGCATGTTTTGCAAGAGAGGTGGGTATGGGAAGGCGTGTGCATGGTGCGTTCTTGAGAGTGAAGATGTCGTCCCCATCCCATATGTTGTTTTGGAAAGAAAGGGGCTTACGGGAGACCCCCCGGGATCCTCAGTATTGATTTGCTGTGTGTTCTTTGTGCTCCAGGTGCTGCTGCTTCTATAAGAGGAAAAGGAAGAAGACTTTCCAGCGCCAGAAATGACAGGTGTCTCCTTGAGGTCTTTGGGGGACCTTGTTTACCGGCTGTTCCTGCCACGTCTTACTGAATGGGGCTTCTCTTGGGGGAGAGGCCAAGAAACAAGGGAGACTTTAAAACCAAAAAAAGAAAGAGAGAGAGGAAGGAGGGATATTCAAAAATAAACACGCAGGTGGATTCCCTAAACGGTTTCTCTTGCTCACTACGCACCGGAGGCTCCTTTTGAAACCGGGACTGCATACTCCCAGGCACTGGTTGCCCTTGTTGGGAAGGTTGGCTGGCTACCTTCACCTCTGTACAGCCGTTCAGCAAAAGGGTGTTCCTGGTGAATGTGCTTTGTTCTTGCTCCCTTTCTCTTGTGTTCTCAGTATGCTTCCCCACCACCACCACTGCCGTTCCCCACCCACTCAAGAGGGTCTTTGTGAACCATGGGCTCAAAGTGGTGGAGGGGAGAGGGTGGCCTTCTGCCACTCCTCTTCCTCCAGACGGCTTAGTTTTTGGCTGTGCTGGCAACTTAGACCTGGATCTTCTTAACTGCACTCTGCAGATTCCATGATAATAAGCCAACAGCAAGAGGATTGAATTCACTCTTCCAGTTGCCTTGATTTACGAGTTTCTGTGATGTCTCCCTTCTCAGAATGGTTACAGAGAAGTGTCTGTTCTAAAGGAACATGTGTTGTTGCACTTTTTATTACTTTTTAGCATTACGAGTATGCATATGCTGTATATGTGGGTCTGTTTTTTTTGTTTGTGGGTGTGGGTGTGAATGATGCCAGCACACACATTCAGCTTGTATTTAAGTGCAAAGCCTCTTCTTGACTTCCTCTGCCTGCCACATTTGGAATCCTTTTAGGATTATGCTGAGGCTTTGAGACTCCACGGTTGGTTGTGCACCGAAGCTTACTTGAATTTTCAGCTGCCCTTTCCAGCTGTCAGTGGACACCCTTCTTGTGATGTTTTCTTTTTTTTTTCCCATGGTGCCTGATCTAACCTGCTTGGAACTGGAAATCTTTCTGCTGGCAGGAGAGAGAGAGAGAAAAGTCAGCTGGGCTGAATTCTGAGCAGGTCAAGGAGATGGAAATACAGACTGTTGCAAGTGATACGGAAAGGACAAGGCACTTGAAGAAAGCAGAGCAACACCGTCAGGAAGAGGAGACTGCCGCTGCCTTAGACTTCCTGTGAAATCCGATCCTGCAAAGATTTTTGAGACCCTTTGTGGAAATATAATATATCATGTGGCTTCCGTCAAAGCAGTCCTTCTGTATGTTGCCTGTAGTTCTCTCTGTTAGCCATCAGGGCGTTTATTAACATGCCTTGCAAGGTGGACCGTGACCCACCCCCTCATCCAGTGAAAGTGAGCGTTGCAGTGTTCACTCAGTTTTGTATCTCAAGCCTCAGCTTGCAGACTTCCACAGTACCGTTCTGGAGATCGCTTGAGATCCGTTTGGAAATTTAAGAAATTTGTCCCAAGAAAGCCTCTGGACTGCCATTTGAGCTACTTAATGCTTTAGAATAAAACCACAGTATTTCCTTTTCAGAGTCCCAGGCCTCGCCTTGAAGTCTTGTGTTCCATCCCTGTTCAAAGGTGCTGCGGCCCTTGAGATTGCTTCGGGCATCTGTGGTTGTGACACTTGGGACTTGTGGAGAGAAGGTGCGAGAGAGTGTTTGCTATTAACCGAAAAACCTATTTCAGAGAGAAAGGAGAGAGAGTAGAAGCAACTCTCCCGGCAGTGATCCTGCTGATTTCTGTCAAAACGTAAATATTCAGTCCATGGTTCTACTGCTCTTCTTCTTCATCTAACCGTCTCATCTGCACATAAAGCTAATGGCCACTCATGAGTTCTGCGCTGCCTTTCGCTCTTCAGCCTGTGAACCAAAATAGAGACCGACTTTTGTCCCACAAGCTGTCTTTCCAGGAAGCTTGCGCCCTCAATTCTTTGCATTTTTCCGGTTCCTCTTCTCCTGCATTCGGGAGGTAATATGGAGCATGGAGCCTTTGCCCACAATGGGTAAGAATGACTGGTTTAAATCTGTGTCATTGCCCTCCTTTCAACTCCTCCCTCTCTGGCTAACCATTTCTCGTGCCACTTGTTTAAAAAAATGCTTCCTTCTCTTCCTATGAGAAATCATGCCTGATCTTTGAGGAAGAGAATAGGCAGAATTTCCAGTTATACGTTTCCAGCTTGGCCAAGCAGAGCGCTTGGTGGTCTGTCTCCGTCGGGGTCCCTGCTAAGTTCTTAGCACCTTTGAGGAAGAGAATAGGCAGAATTTCCAAAAGGAAAACTCCAGTTATATGTTTCCAGCTTGGCCAAGCAGAGCACTTGGTGGTCTGTCTCCTTTGGGGTCCCTGCTAGGTTCTTAGCATTGATTCCAAAATGGAACACTTCTATTCTACAAGGCAATCTCATTCTCTTCCACTGAAGATGATGATACTGGAATTTGCAAATAGGGGAGGTTACGTTTTAAAGCAAGGTCTTTGTCTTTTTTTTAAAAAGAACTCTTTAGAACTTTTCAGAGTTTAAAGCAGTCTAATGTGAACACTTTTGCTTCTGGACTACTTCTCCATTACTCGGGAGATCGACCTTTCTTATGAATGCTTTTTTTATGTTCCTGTATATAGGAAAAATATATTTGTAAAGCAGGCAGTTTTATCCCTGATTTGCATTTTGGTCTTCAAGGAGCCATTCCTTAAAGGAACAACTTGCCATAGAGTTCTTTCTAGACTAAAACTTGGATGTTAACTTCTGAATTAAATGGGCACTTGATAGGAACTAGAGGTCTCAGCCTAATGTGCTTTACTTCTATGACCCCTTCCTTAACCACAGGCTAATCTTTCAGCCAGTACACAACTGGATGAAAGTGGAGAGGCTATGAGCAAAAAAAAAAGTCAGTGTTTCAGAAACAGTCCCCAGTCGTTTGTCATAAAGTTTTGACATCAGAGCTGGTTCCAGGGAAGCAACGAGCATCAACCTGAAAGGGGTTTGTACCCTTTTCTGAGAACTGTAATCTGTTGAAAAGGTTTACACCCCTTCCTTCTTGGCTTCTTAAGGCTTGCAACTTTAAAAAGAATGTTGTAACTAACATACAGTACTTCCTTATCGCAGATCAGTGCAACGTTGGTAAGACAAAGCTGGCATTATTAACGGATTATTTTGATGCTTACTGTTGTCCAGCAGGCAGATGTGATAAGATTGTAAATTAAGGTTTAGCAGTCTGCTTTCCTCTCTCTTCCTGTTGTGTCTTCCCCAGATATTCCTGGCCAAGTTTACTCAATTGAGGACACTGTCTCGCTTCCAGAGTCGTCTTTTAGTTCTCCACTGGCTGATCTCCCACACTTAACTTCCTTTGTGGGAACGAAGGGGCCAGTGCATCACACCCGCTTCTGCTAGAGACAAAGTTATCTCTGGTCAGTTCTCTCAAGGATAAACCTTTCAAGTCCTTGTCTAAGATCTTCCTTCCCTTTTGCCATTTAGGAAGACATGGGTTTGTGCACTGGTTCTTAACCTTGGGTTACTCAGGAGTTTTGGACTGCAACTCCCAGAAGCCTTCACCACCAGCTGTCCTGACTGGGGTTTCTGGGAGTTGCAGTTCAAAAGCATCCGAGTAACAAAGGTTAAGAACCACTGGGTTTGTGCATGGGCCATGAATCCTCTTTGCAGAGCTACTCACAGTCCTTAATTTTCCGTGATTTCTCTCTTGGGTGTGATCACAACTTGCTGGGAAACAGCTGCCATTTGTCTGCTTCTATTGCTGCTGCTGCTTCCTTTTCCTTGAACTGCTAATGGGAGAGACTTGAGATTTCTATAATCCTTACTTCCTTTCTGTAAGACGCTTTGGTGCAGTGCCAGAGAAATGGATGTGTTATCACCCTTAAGAACTCGCACTGCCAGAATGAGGAAATTCTTCAGCTCGTGGCTGTTGGGTTCCAAACATTCCTCCCTCTCGATATTCAGTCTTAAATCTTTTATTTTTAAACCACCACAACTGGCTTCCGAAATCATTATGTCCAAAGTATTATTTTCTCTTGGCATGTCTTTCCCAGGGATCTTGTCCACAGCAGAACCTAAACAATCTTCCACCGTTTACAGTAACTTCCAAGAAGCAAACTTGTGTTGCCCCCTCCTGATGAATGTGTGGTGTGCAGGTCTGTGTCTCCTGAGATTGGTGAGTGGTTTCTTGTGTAGAAGGGTGAGCAGAAGAGGATGCCTTGATGGGCGTTCCTCTGATTTTTATGTGGTTTGGAGACCATGTTTATGGATGTGAAGCGCCAAATGCACACCTTGCTATAAATATGAAGCCATAATCCCTACTTTCTCAAAATACTACTAACATTTCAAGACGGTCACAGATAATACCTTTTCTGCATCGCTTATCAGCCCTTGAAGGGAAATACTAATTTTTTTTGTTGTTGCTTGGAATGCTAGTTTTGTACTGTTTTGCACCTCGGTAACTGAAACATGAGCGAGCTTCCTTTATGTGTTTGGACCCTGATGTTAGTGTGATGTTCAGCTGTAACTGGCCCTAAGATTGCCTGTGTTTCTTTTTTCTTTTTGCCTTGGCAGTTCTTAAATGCTGTGTTTGTATTATGCATATCCTGGTAAATGACTGGAATGGAACTGGTTCCTTAAACTTTCCTTAACATTGTCTGTGTGTATGGAGGAGTTTGCTTTGTACTGAAATGATAGGAATCACTGTTCCCTGTGTGAAAGTCTGGAAGGGCTGGGGGAAGGCATCCCTTCAGTATTTCTACGCAGCCAATCTTTGAGCTGAAGGTGGATAGTAGGTAATTCTGTGGATGCTTTATCATGAAACTCCTTGCAAAGAAACCTCAGCCTTTGATCAGGATGCCCTCTCCTTAGCTTAATGGTGCAGTAGCCACCAGCCCATCAGCACCTCATAGGGATGTCATTCTGAGTTCTAGAAAACCAACCTTCAGAGCTGGTGGTTTCTGAGAAGGACTGGGACGCTCTTACACCAAGCGGGTAGATGTTACCTTATCTCCCAGTGCCTGTTCTGAGTGTCGTATGCCCTCCCAAAGACATGGCAGGTGCATGCCAATCAAATATAGGCAGAGGGGAAAAAAAAGGCTTTTAATCCTTTTAAATCCTCTCTTGTCCTTTTAAGACTGTCTCAGGAAAATGATCACTTTTTTCTAAACAAATGCTATTCCAAACTGCTGCATGGTATACACTACCCTGTGGAACATGGAACAAGTTGTCTTCTACGGTTAGAAAAGCAACTTGGCATTGATGAAGTCTGCCCTAGCAGTTCGCAAGCAGAGAAAAGCATCAGTTTGTGGGGGGCATGTGGACCATACCAAATAAATGCATCTTCCCCAGACAGGGAAATCGCAGTTAAGTGGCTTGTTCCCATTGGAAATCTTGTGATGTATAATTTATTATGTCTGTTTTCTTTAATGTAGGCCTTTTGTGCTTTTAAAACTGGGATGATTGGGATAATGATGAGTGGAACTCTTGTTACTGTAAATAAGAACAAATCAGCTGTGAAAAAAACCCTTTTTTTAAAGTATTGTGTGCACATGTCTGATTCTCGTTGAAATGCCTTTTGATTTTTAATCAGTTCATTTTAAACACGTAATGCAATGTTTTATTCACATAATCCCGGCACTGCTTTTGGAATTTAGCAGTGGACATGCAATGTCCTATATTTTTTTTTAACATGAATGTTGATTTCAAATGCATTTGAAATGGTTCAACCAGGATAAGGGCTTACATGTACATCATATGTAGGAGGCTCCCTCCTCTGGCGCTGGTTAGATTTTACTTTGCCAGGAACTTTTTGAGTCCTGCTACTGATCTTTTTGATGTGCCTCTCTTACTGGGACATTGCAAGAAACGTTGTGTACCTTGAATACTCCTTTCCCCTATTTGCACCCTTTTAATGTAAAATAAACATCAACTTTGCTCTGTTCATCTTGGTCCTTTTTTCGCTTGGCCTCAAATCTCTTTCACTGACAAAACAGGTCTGAAAATATTCCCAGTACATACTCTGTTTGAAGCTGCTTCATACATTTTCCCACCCTGTTAGATCACAGGAATGACACTGTATATCCTTGTTAATATATAAAGGAAGAGGCAGCTGGTTTTACATAGTTTAAACGTCTGCACATATGATGTGCTGGGAATTCATGTGATCTATTGCAAAGAACTCAAAAGGTGGGAATGTCTATAGTTTGTTGCTTTTACACAAGTATACTTGGAAGCTAGAACATGTATATCTGTATTAAACATTGTTTCCTGTTGATGCTTGTAAAGAGCTAACGAGAGGGAATTGTACTGTTCTTCGCCTCAACCCAGTGGCATTCCTGCAGTGAAAAATGTGTGGTTTGCAGGGAAATGCTGTGTAAAACCCAAAGAACTATGTGCCCACCCCTTTTTATCATGCAGAATACAGCTGTCAGAGTAGCTACACGGACGCCGCATTTCCGTACCAGAAATAGCACACAGTTCCTATGGTTCCCAAAAATACATGACTGGTGGTTTATCCTCCTTTGGTTCAGTATGAATTTTGAAACGTCATGCAAAAGATGCTTTTCAAAAGGAGTAAGACAGGTTTCATGGAGGATGACGCTATTCATGGCTGCCAGTCTCAATGACTGTGAGATGTCTGTGCCGTACCAGTTCGTAGCAAACGACAGCCGTGCCGACTCCGCTGGTTGTCTGGCTTTGGGCTTTCCAGAGGCAAGTGATCGGCAACTGTACTAAACAGGATGATGGGCTCCATGGTCTTTTGGAGTGATTCCGCCGGGCTCTTAATGTAAGCGGCATCTGCCCAGATTTCGCAGAGTGGCTGACAAGAGTCTCTCCTGGCAGCCAGAAGGAGTGGCGGGGAGGGTGGCCGAGTTTAGGGAAGGGCTTCAGCCGAAGACCTGCTGCTGGAGAAGGCCCTCTTCTGAGTCCCACCACGGAGGACCCTTCCATCCGGTGGAGACACCCAGGGCTTTCTCTGCTATGGGACCTCCACCACCGTGGGGCGCCCTTCCCCCTTGGAGGCTCAGTGGGCACCAACATCAGCATCCTTTCAGCCCCCCCCCCAAAGGGCAGGCCATCAACGTTTACATAAATGAAATAATAAACGAAGCAAAACGTTTACATAAATGAAATGATAAATAAACGAAGCAGGATGTGCTGTGTAGGCTGGCACTGCCATGGTTTCTCCATCATGGGCTACCTGGGGCCACCTCCGCCAGGGAGTTTTGATGCACTACAATTCCCATCAGCCCCAGGAGACATCTCATCCTTGCACTGGCTCCGGAAGAGACACACATTTCCCTCCTTTGTTCTACCGCCTCCTGCAGGCGAAGGGCGGCCCTGCAAAGAAGGGCGTCCCGCGCGGCGCTCGCTGGGTAACGTAGTCCTGCCAAAAGAACCGCCTCGTCTTCGGCCTCTCCTTTGTTGCCACGTACGTGGTCCAATCAGAGCGCCACCGCCTCCCTCCCCGTGCCCGCTTCCCATTGGCTGATCCGACTTGCCCCCCCCATACCGCGCTGTG